TTTTTTGGGGGGGGGGGGGGTGTGGATTGCTCCTCTCCATCTAGCTGCTTAGACTTATTGAAGCTTGAAGAAGTTCTCCAATAATTATCGTGTATCCTAGCTATAAGTGTCTAATTTAGAGTTATCACAATAGAATTTGATCAATAGAGAATGGGGAAAATATCAATAAGAAAGAGTAAATAACAGACTAAAAAATAGTGATTAGATGATAATGAATAAATTGAATTAGTTTGAGATAAAGTTCGAAACGGTGATTGTGTGGCTGTTGCGAAACGGTGATTGTGCGGCTGTTGTCCAATATATAACTCTCTGTCTTGTAAGTGAATAATTTACTCGCATTGCACAGGGCAATCGTTCGTTTACAAGGGATGTCAGAGTACCCACCCGAATGCATCAATAAACTTCATCATGCAAACCGGTCCACAAAACACTCGTGAGAACGTTTTATTGGAATTGATTGTGCAACTGGCTGCTGAACCAGCATTTAATCAGTTGAGGACAAACGAACAACTTGGTTAGTTAATTGGCGATTTTTAGCATCGGACAAATATTCCAAGTTTCGATTTGCAAAGTCAAGTATCATATGCATTGCTCTTCAATAACTCTGTGTCATTACGTGATGTGTTGTCAGAAATTTGGTGTAGATTCTTTGGTTCGATCATTATTCCGCCCATAACTCGCAGAATTGTAGGATACATTGTGCATACGGGAACACGTCGAAGTTGTGGAACGCAAGCATTTGAAATGTTGGTACAGGGCAAACACGATCCAGAGCATATGAACAGTCGAATAGAGAATTTCTTGCAGACATTCAGGGTGAGTGTTATCGATTCGTTGGAATTTTTGCGCCGTTTAAATTTCGTATCAATTGATGGTGTACTTTGTGTGTGGTAAATGCTTTGTGATTATAGAAGAATTTGGAAGAAATGCCCGACGAAGAATTCAAAGACAATGTGGAAGCATTGGCCGCAAAACGACTGGAGAAGCCAAAAACGATGGGTGCGAAATCGGCACGTTACTGGGCTGAAATTGACGTTGGATTCTATCATTTCAATCGAGGTCAGTGTGCAGCCAAAATTTATTTAAGATAATTTTTTTGTTGACATGATCAAAAAATTATCAGTCGTCGGTTGTCGAGAGAAGTCATTG